CCCTGAGCAAACATCCATAACCATCTTCCTCTACTTTATATGAGGGATGCCTGCCACAGCATGGTGTGATAAACGGTGCACAGGTCCACACTCGGGATCCAAACCAGTGAACCCTGGGCTGCTGAAGTGGGGCGTGCAGACTTAACTACTACACCACTGGGCCAGCTCCCCAATCACGTTTTCAGGTCTCCTACTCAAAAACATAAATTAACAATTTAGGATTAAAAGAAGTTTGAGAACATTGCTATGAACTAAATTGTGTCCCACCTCAAAATCTGTACAGTGAAGCCCTAACTCCCAACGTGACTATTATTGGAGATAGGCCTTTAGAGGTAATTAAGGTTAAATGAAGTCATAAAGGTGGGGCACAAATCCAATAGGATCAGTGTCTTGATAAAAAAAGACAGCAAAGAGCTCATTCTGTCTCTTCAAGCACACACTGAAAGAAAAGGTCATATGAGCACAAAGCAAGAAAGTAGCCATCTGCAAGCCAGGAAGGAGCGCTCACCAGAAACTAAATCAGCCAGCACCTTGATCTTGGACTTCCCAGCCTCCAAAGCTACGAGAAATAAGTCTCTGTTGTTTAAGCCACCCAGTCTGTGGTATTTTGTTCTGGCAGCCCAAGCTAATACAAACATCATCAAGAAAACAAAAGAAAAACAGCAATATGGAGGAAAGACTATGTAGGGACAAAAAAGACCTTTTAAAACTATCATTAAAGAAATGAAAACATACATCCACCCAAAAACTTGTACGTGAATATCCATAGTAGCATCATTCATAATAGCCCCAAAGTGGAAACAACCCAAATGTCCATCAATAAAAGAACACATAAATAAAATGTGCTATATCTATGCAAAGGAATATTATTCAGTAATAAAAAGGAATGAAATACTGATGCACGATATAACATGGATGAACCTTTAAAACATTATGCTAAATGAAAGAAGCCATTCACAAAAGACCACATTTCACATGATTCCGTTTATACGAAATGTAGAGAACAGGCAAATCTATGGAGACAGAAGCAGATTAGTGGTTGCCAAGACTGGAAGTTAGAGGGATAGGGGAGACAAGGGGAAGATTGGGGAGTGACAGCTAAAGGATACAGGATTTCTTTTTGGGGTGATGAAAATGTTCTAAAATTGATTGTATCGATGATTGCACAATTCTGTGAATATACTAAAATCACTGAATTGTACACTTTAAATGAGTGAACTTATGGTATGCAAATTGTATCTCAATAAAGCCGTTACCAAAAAATTAAAATTTAACGAGTGAAAAAATACAAAAAACTTTTGCTCTACAACCATACCAAGTACTTAGGGAAAAGTTAAAAGAAAATAATTAAGTTGAGCTATATTCTTCTGACATGGAAAGATGTCCAAGACATATTAAGTGAAAAAAAAACAAGTCAAAGAACCATATGAACAATGTTGTAACATTTGTATAGAACAAAACCAAAATATGAAACTTGTGCGCGCCTGCGCTCTCACTCTCTCTCTCTCGACACACACATGCACAAACGTATGCAAATATATATAGAAAGTTTTGGAAAAGACATCTATGCAAAAAAATGATAAAGAGTGATGTAGGAAACTGTCCTATATTATTCATAAAAATTTATAAATACTACAGAATAAAATAAAGGCAGAAACAGCAGGAAAAACAATAAGCAGTAAGAAACAAAATGTAACCCTAATGATCTCTGCTGTGGCAGTAATCAATCTTTACAGCCACAAAAGCCAAAAAAACCACACAAAAAACCCAAAAATACTCAATAATAATAATAATTTAAAAAATCCAATTAGAAATTAGGCAAAGACACAAAGAAATACTTTACCAAAGAAGATATATGGATGGCAAATAAGCACATGAAAAGATGTAAGATGTTCAAACTCAATATCCATTAGGGAAATGCAAATTAAGACCATGACAAGAGGTCACTACACATCTACTAAAACAACTAAAATAAAAAATGTTGACAATAGCAAATGTTGCCAAGAATGTGCAAAAACTGGGTCTCTCACACACTGGTGTTGGGAATGTAAAATGGTACAGGCAGTCTGGAAAATAGTTTGGCAGTTTCTAAAAAAAACTAAATGTAAACTTACCACACAACCCAGCAACTGCACTCCTGGGCATGTATGCCGGAAATGAAAATTAATGTCCATACAAAGAACTGTATCCCAACAGTCTTGTCTTTATTTGTAATAGCCCAAAGCAGAAAACCACCAAAATATCCTACAATAGTTGAACGGCTAGACAAACTGTTAGACATACCACAGAATACTAATCAGCAAGAAAAGGAACGAACTATTGCTACAGGCAGCAACTTGGATGTGTCTCAGGGACGTTATCCTGAGTGAAAAAAGCCAGTCTCAAAAGGTCACATACTGTACGATTCTGTTTATGTAACATTCTCAAAATGACAAAATTACAGAAATAGAGAACATGTTAGCGGTTGTCAGGGGTTAAGATGGTGAAGGGGAGGAAAGAAGACGTGACTAGGAAGGGGTAGCATGAGGGAGATGTTTGTGGTAATGGAATAGTTCTGTATCTTGACTGTAAATCTATACATGTGCAAATCTTGATTATATTAAATCTACACATATGATAAAGTAGCCTAGAACTATATACACATATATTGCACAAACATTAATTTTCTGGTTTTGATATTGTACGATACTTATGTAAAAGATAATCATTGGGGGAAACTGGGTGAAGGGTACATGGGATCACTTTGTACTATTTTTGCTACTTCCTGTGAATCAATATTTATTCCAAAATAAAAGTTTTTTAAAGGACATCACAGTCCAGAACAGAGGTCTTAAAAATTAAAAACCTGAGGGCAGAAATTAAAAACTCAATAGAAAGATTGGAAGATAAAGTTAAACACAATCTCCCAAAGAGAGCAAAAAGACAAAGATGTGGAAAACAAGAGATAAAATTCAAGAAAATTAGAGACCCAGTCATATAGAAACAACATCAGAATAATGAATTCAAGGAAGAGAGAATGGAGAAAATAGGAGGCAGAAAGTCGACAAAATAACTTAAAAAAAAACTTTACAGAACAGAAAGACATGAGTTTATGTTACCCACCAAAATGAGTGAAAATGGACTGATAGCAAGAAATATCTTTGTGAAACATCCTAACGCTGGGGACAAAGAGAAGATCCTATGCTTCCAGAAAGAAACAATCAATTCACATACAAAGGAACAGAATGGACTTCTCTCCAGCAACACTGGATGCGAGAAGACCACAATGCAACGTTTTCAATATGCTGATGATTTCCAACCAAGAATTCTATACTTAAATTGTCAGGCAAATAAATGTGAAGGCAGAATAATAACATTTTTAGACATGCCTAACATTTTAGGCATAAGAAATATTTATTTCTTATGCACTCTTTCTCAAGAAACTACTGGAAATTGTGTTCCACTAAAACAAGAGAGTAAGCTGGACATCTATGGCACAAACGTAACCACACAGGGCATCCCTGCTCCTCCCCCCCATACCCCTAAGACTATTCCTCCTTCTCTTTCTCTCATATTCCTGATCTCATTAATGGCATCAGCACCAAGCAGTAGCCCAAGCTGGGAACCGAGGTCATCCATCGCACTCTCATTTCTCAAAGCTAATCATGAAGACTTGATGATTTTACCCTCTAAATATTTCTCAATTCTGTCCCTAGTTCCATGGCCTGACTTCTGGTCTCTATCACAATAACCACCTAACCAATCTCCCTATCCCCAGTCCTGGCCTCCGCAAATCCATGCTCCACCATGTGGCTACAGCCATCTGCCTAAAACGCAAAACTAACCAAGTGACTCTGTCACTTAAAACCCCAAAGTTTCTCAAAATCTGACCAGCAGGCAAGAGAAACACGTGGCAATCAACCTGCCACTCTCCACGCCTACCTCCCCACCTCCATGGTAGAGATTATAATCCAACATGGCGCTTTCCTGCAGAGCCTAAACTCAGCCTCATAACTTTCTTAAGAGAGCTCACAGGCATCCCCCATGAGATGAAACAATCTGCAACTCCTGTTCAAGAACTTTAGCCAGGCGCGGAAGGCCCTTCCAGACTCTACTCCTGCCTCTCTACAGGGACCTGTCCACTCCCACATCTCGCACCTCCTTGACTTCGCTCACGCAGTTCTTCTCCACCTGGGATGCTGCTTCACCTGGCTAACAACCTTGCCAACAACCTTGCCATTTCAGGCCGTCTCCAGGACCCTTCTCTCACTTCCTCAGTTGAGTTCTCTTCTCTCTGTACTCTTCTAATATCTTGTCCCCCAAATTCTGTTCCCCCGGTACTCAAATTCTGTTCAGAAGTCTCCCTCACTAGACTGAATTTATTAAAGGACAAAGGGCTTGTCTTATTCTCTTTGTATTTCCAGCCCCTACTGCACGGTAGGAGTCCAATAAACATTGGTTGAAATTAAATGACCACAAATGCAGCAGGGCACGGGGGTGAAACAGACAAGAAAGTGAAAAGACCTTCCGGGAAGCGCGTAGAACTAACGTCATATTTTGCATCCTTTCCAAACGGCTTGGTCTGCTTATTCCTGCTCTTCCTGTATCCCCGTAATCAGAAACGATGGCTCCTTTTGATTTTGTTCCTTCAGTGTTCGGGGCTTCATTCATATGTTACTCATGTTTTGTCACTGTCACTCCTAGACTGTAAGCCCTTTGAGGGAAGGGATTGTGTCTTTACGCACTTCGCTTCTCACGGTGACAGATGGCGGCGTACAGGAAGCACGTGAGGGACGGTGGCCGGTCACCACAGGACAATAGACCAGACCCCGCTTCCCCGAGTCCCGCCCGCCCCCTCCCCTCTCCTCTCCTCTCCTCTCCTCTCCTCTCTAGACCCCTCCTCACGCCGGCCGCTTCCCGCCTTCCGGGCGGCGGAAGTCGCGGCTGCTCTTCCCTGCCCACGTGGAGCCTTTTCCGGTGCGCCCGCCCCTCCGCCTCGCCGGTCCGGACCTGGCCCTCACCTCAGGATTCCCAATGTGCCTCCGGACAGACATATTTGCTCCAACCGACCACGCTCGGGGTTCTAGCCTCACCGGTTGCCTCTAACCCTAGGTTCCTACCCCCAAAACCCCGCTCAGCCGCCTCCCTACAACCTCTTCTCTGATTGGCTTGCCTGCCCCGACCAGCCAATGGAGGCTCTGTTTACTGTGTCATCGCGGGGTCAGAGGAGAGCGAGACGCCGCTCCACAGTTGCCAAGGGCAACGCGGGACGCCGGCTGCAGAGGCCTTTTGTGCTCTCGGGCGCCGGCAGGCTCCAGGCTGAGCGCGGGAAGAAGGGCGCGGGGGAGGGGCGGCTGGCGCCTGCGCGGGGGCGGCTGCGCAGAGTCCGAGGGGGGAGGGGCCGGACGGGGGGAAAAAAGCGTTTCTGGCTAATGTCGGAGCAGAAATACGGTATCGAGCACCCCATTTTAGCCAAACATCTGTCTACGTCTTCCACGACAGGGAACAGATATGGGACAGGGTTGTGCAGCAGGAAGGGGAAGCTGTAGTTTATTATTTTCAAGTTAAGTTAATATGCAAATTATGCAAAATATGTGCAAATACAGTAATTATTGTTGCTTTAAAAGCTTTTAGCTAGCTAGAGAAAGGCCACCATAATTACAAAATGCACACGCCATTCTGTGATTCATCATTCATTTAACAAATATTTAATAAGCACCTTATGAGAAAAGCTGCAGTAGGTTTTGTGGAGGATGGGAGGATGACTAAGACCCAGTCTCGTTGTCATGGAAACCATTGTGACTCCTGCCGTCAGCCACCACCTGTTCTTATTCCAGATCTGAAAATGAAGTCTTAGCACCTTTACAAAACAATCACACACACAGTTTGCCTTGGCTCTAAAATGTCCCACCAAATCCATTAAAATTATTATTTCCTTTTATATGAGAGAACAACACGGTAACCTTTTGTCCTTTGCTCTAAGCTGTTTTTCCAGGAATGGAGAAAGGTTGCTCTGAGCTGTTCGTACTCTCTGCTTGTGAATGTTGGCATACATCTGAGCTACTTCAGGGTCTGTGCATATGAGCCATTCAACAGCACGGCCTTGTATGCCCTTGTCCTCTCAGACACTTCAGCATCCCACCCGTAGGGCCACACCTTGAATCGTGTTGTCACCCAGAGCTGCCTGACCTCCAGGATCTTAAACTGACCATAGCTGTCTCTTGCAGCTTCATGCCTACTGAATTTGTCTTAACTTCCATAGTGTTCTCCAGTCCTTCAACCCTTTTAAAGTTCCCAGTTTCTCACCCGTCCACTAGAATAAGGAAGAGTAGGGGCTGCAAGAAATGGGAAGAGGGACAGTGGGGAGGATGTTTATCTAGAAGCTTCTGCTTGCTATGCAGAAGCTTCTAGATACTAAGAATGTATGCTTACCCAGTGGAGTGTGGGGGTGGGGTGATGATAGAGATTATGGGTAAAGAGGAGAAGGGAAAGAAGAGAGGGAGATAATAAGGGACTAAACTAAAAGGTGGTGAGAAAGAGAGGAAAAGAAATTTAAAGACATTTGTAGGTAAAATAAACAGTTATATACATGAGAACAGAGAAGAGGTGCAAGCAATAGGAAGGCATCAAGGATGTCTATAATTTTTCTAACTTGGGGGACTGAGTAGATGGGTGATAATGCATTAGTCAAGTTAAAGAATAATGGAGGTCTGGGGCCAGCCTGTGGCCGAGTGGTTAAGTTTGCACGCTCCGCTTGGGCTGCCCAGGGTTTTGCTGGTTGAGATCCTGGGCACGGACATGGCACCACTTGTCAAGCCATGCTGAGGTGGCATCCCACGTGCCACAAATAGAAGGACCCACAACTAAAAATACACAACTGTGTACAAGGGTGGGGGGCTTTGGGGAGAAAAATAAAATCTTAAAAAAAAAAAAAAAAAGAGAAGAGTGGAGGTCAAGCAATCAAAAGAATAGAAAGTACAAGACCCAACAGCCCACTGGAGTTGGAAGCTCAGCTTCCCTTCTTCAGGGTTTGAGCTCACGTCTCTGTATGATTGGGTTTTTTTTTGCAGAGGGTCTGGGAATATCAGGTCTATTTGCCTCAGTAGTTATTGTGGTGGTCAAATTTGGGCTGCATATAAAGCATACAGAGAGATTATGAAATGTGGTTTCTTGGGTCTGTCAGAGATGCCGACTCTGTGTGTCTAGTGTGGGGATGTGGGAAACTATACTTTAAATAATGCTCTTCCACTCCCACTCCTTAATTCCAATGCACAGAGTCCAAGGGCCACACCTTGACAGACTCTGCTCTAGAAGCACCTCCCATTTCTTTCACATTTTGCCCCAGTGGAATCCTTGGAAAGCTTAAAGCTATAAATCAAAAGGCTTTTAACATCATAAGTTTCTCTTTAGGTTTCCTTTTGGATCCTGCTATAACAAAACTGCATCAAAATTAAAGCAAGGTGCTTATTCCTAATATGAAAAATATGTAAACATCACAAAAAGATAATTCATAGAAGATAAACATTCAATAAGCATACTGAGAAACATCCAACTAATAATGAAAGAAATACAAAACCAGACAGCTAGATCCATTTTTCAACTAACAAGTGGACAAAGGGATTTTTGTTTTCTCTCTTTTTTTAATGATAATGTTCAGTGTTGGCTGATGATTCATGAAACAAGCATGCTCATCCATTGTTAGTGTGAATATGAAGAAGTGTACTATTTTGAAAAATAATTTGAGAGTGTGGGTATTGAGAAGCCCTCAAATCTTAATATTCTGAGAATTTCTCCCATGGAAATAATCAGAGATGCACAAAAATTACACCCACAGATGTTTACTGGAATCTTATTTAAATGACAAAAGATCGAAACAACCTAATTGATCATCGATTAAAAAATGGTTAAAATAAATGGTGGCATACCCAGAAAAAGTAATATTATGGAACCATTAAAAAGTATGTTTCAAGGAATAATTAGGGCAATGGAGAACTGTTCCTGATATAGGAAACAATTTTTTATTTAATATAATCCTGAATTGTGTGGAGAAAAATACAGGTATCCACTGAAAAAATTGAAAAAAATATTTAAAATGTAAACCATCTCTGGATTATGGAATACAGATATTTGTTTTATTCTTTAGACTTTGTGTATTTTGCAGATTTTCTGTAGTGACTATAAGTTAATTTTATATGTTTTAATAAAAACATTCTCCCCCTAAGAAACAAAAAACATGAATCGGACTTCAGCCTGAAAATTGTGTATGGCCTTTGTCTGGGCTAAATTCTGTGCGATTCCTCTAACTGAAGTGCTGTAGCTCTGCCCTTCTTGGCGGTAAAAAGACTCTCCAGGCGCTTGAGTAAGATCCTTGCAATCAGAGTCGTGATTGCCAGGAGGTTCAAGCTTTGTTTGTAAGAGAAGAAGTCCTGATTCTTTTCTTTAAAAGTTCCTACTTCCACTGATTAATCTTATTTTTCACGAAGTTGGAAGTGTTCTCGGGAACTTCCATTTGTTTGATGTCTTCTTTTTAACCCTATCTGTGTTCCACACAGCTTTCAGTCTCTGCAGAGTTGGTGGGAGCCCCAGCTAGGTAAGCGTGGCTGGCTAAAGGACAGTGAGTTTGTTAGCTGCTCCTGTGCCTGATCACCCCCTCCCTCAGCCTCCCTTCCCCAGGAACCACACAGGCGTTTAGGTGTCAAGGAGTCTGGCCCTCTCCTGAGCCTAAAACCCTCTGGACCCTCCTTCCTCCTGAATCCATCTTCTGGTCCAGCCTCCTGCCATCCAGCTCCTCATGCTTAGCTCTCAGCCTTGGTTCTTGATCAGAGCCCAGCACTCTCCCCTCAGACTTGTCTCATCGTGTTGCTTCTCGCATATGGGCCTTGGCTCCCTTTCTTAGCTGCATTTGCCTTCATTCTCTAAATGACATACACTTCCAGATGCTTAAGGAGACAATTCTGCCCAACCCTGTCCGGTCCTGGGGTCTTTTCCCTGCCTCCCAGGAACGGAACTGCATCTGAGGCAGTGAAGCCACAGAGCAATAAAGTGCCTGCAGTTCTGGTAGAAATTTGGTGTCATTCTACGTGTGGTGAAATGTGCCTAGGGAAGAGCATACCAGCCTCTGAGTGGAGGGCTGCCCTTGCCTGCCTCCAGCTCAGGCCGGAGTTGGAGTGCTTGGCCTGGGCCCAAAGACCTCAACCATCCCTGCAGCCCCTCCCAGGGGAGTAATTCCTACCTCTCAGATTTCTTTGGAACTGCCAAAAGAAATTGGCATCCTAGCTGCTTAGCTGATGGGGTTGGCATTCCCACATATGCAGTTCTGTAGCCACTTCTGAGAGCCACGTGGGATGTGCACCTGTGGTAGAAAGGATGTATGATGTCCCCTTCCAGGGAGCCCCAAGACTTCCTTTACCACCTGTGATCAAGCCCAGGGCATTTGGTTGTCACAGGCCGTGGTCTGCTTCTGGCTTGGGATTTATATAGAATGATGCTCTGCCACAGACCTAGTTCCAAGAGAACTCTGAGGAGCCAACCTGGGTCTCAAAATGGTCTGCCCCAAGGGGGTGGAGGAGAAGTCAGTGTTGGGAGGTACCTCTGTCACTCTGGGCACAGGGGACAGCTGGAGAGCCCAAGCCCCATGAAAAGACCTGTCACTGCGGATCAAGTGTGTCAGATGTTCACGTTTCTCAAAATCATCTAGAAACCTAGGATTTCATGTGAAATCCACAGGCCGCTAACTTGCAACCCCTGTGGTAGACTCTGCAAATACAATTCCTGTTCTTCATGGTTTTTAAATAATCAAGATAATACCCATGGTAAAAACAAATGCTAGTGGGATTTCTGCTTCCATTTAGGATGTAGAAAGCTGCAAGGGACATCACTCCTGTCCAACAATAAGAAAAAAATTAATACTCTACAAAATCACAAGTTTTCTTGAATCCTTCAGAGAGCTGAGATCACAAGGCAGCCACATAACTAAATTCTAAGAAGTGACAAGCCCAAGGAGAGAAGGAACACACAAACTGTTTCATGTTTGGCCGAGCTCTGGAGAAAACATGACTGCTATAGAAGTGGGCAAGAAGAAATCAGCTAAAATTTTCACTGATTTCTAAAGGCTGAGTTTGGGCTAGCAGATCAGTTTAGAATAACCGTGATCCTATGCTGGTTAATTTTATGTGTCAGCTTGGCTAGGCGCAGTATCTAGATACTTGGTCAAACACTATTCTAGATGTTTCTGAGAAGATTTTTTTAAAAAATCAATTTACTTTTTTTCTGCTTTTTCTCCC